AATTCGATTCGTTACAAATTATTCAATTAAAATGCAATCAAAAACTACTTTCGGCCAGATATTTGGTTGGAATGTGGAATATCTTAGCTATTGTATAAAATTATAGCTTAACTAGTGTACATGTTGCTCGAAATCGAGCAATTGCAAAGAAGTACAGGAGTTACATATAAACAAATGACTTGTTAAAAAACTAATAACAGTCATAATTTCCGATGATTTTAAAAGAGTCAACTAAAAGATTATTAACTAATGGAAATACTCACAATATACATAACAGTCCTATTCCAGTTTAAAGGGTTATTTTTTAACTATCAAACTGCCCATGGACGGGAAATGGTAAGCTTACAATTTAAGTCAAAATAAAAAGTCTGTCAGCTTTTATAATGTACTGTACCTAAGTTATTTAGCCAATTTGTAGACAATAAGGTGTAGGCTACAAACTCTACAGAACTCTCATGCTTCCATGGGGAGCAACTAATTATTAATATTTAATTCCTGACAACAGCTGGAGTTTCAAAACAATGTTTGTTTCCCGTGTTAATCTTATGGAGAAATACGAAACTTTAAAGGGTCCCAGGGCCTCACTCTCTAATTATTTACCTAACAAAAGTTTCCTGCACAACTTCACGTTACGCTCTTTCCAATGACACCAAAAACATGTCAATCGGTTCAGTAGTTTCGGAGGAATAATTGTCACAAAAATCCTGCTTGCGTATTAAATAAGTACTAGTGTCCCTGTTGCTCGAAATCGAGCAATTGCTAAGTATTACAGGTGTTATTTTAAAACGAAAAACGGTCATATTTTTTATGACTATAAAAGATTCGACTCAAAGATTATGGAATACTCAAGATGTACATAACAGATCGATATAATCCACATTTCTTGTAAATATGTTATCATTTTTCGAAAGCTGATTTTGTTTTTTAGTGTTTATAACACACATTATTTCTATTTCTTCCCATTGGTGATGTTCTATGACTTTCCTATGTTTCCATAGTTTGCAAATCGGCTCTTTCAATGATTACTAAGAAATGCTGCACAGTGTTAATCCAGTTTTCTTTTTAGTACTGTATATAAATTTATCCAGGCTCTCTTGTTTTTTCCCATTGTAATAATTACGCCAACCCAAATTAAAATAGTAACTGTGGCACTGGCAAACTTAACTGTTAAAATTAGCAAACTTACTGACTGTTTACAATTAACATATGCTCTTCTTCTCACTTTTAATTTCTGACAACAGCTGGAGTTTCATAACAATATTTGTTTCCCATGTTAATCTTATGGAGAAATACGAAACTTTAAAGGGCCCCAGGGCATCACTCTCTAATTATTTCCCTAAAAAGAAAGTTTCCTGCACAACTTCACGTTACACTCTTTCCAATGACACCAAGAACATGTAAATCGGTTCAGTAGTTTCGGAGGAGTAATTGTCACAAAAAACCTGCTTGCGTATTAAATAAGTATATAGATAGATGTGACTGTGGACCCAATTTTGTACTAAACACACGCTGTTGTTTGATCTCGAGTAGCCGACCCAGTGTTAGCATCAAGAGGCCAAAAACTAGGAACGTAGCGCCAGCCACGTCCCTTTCACTTTCAGCAATTTTACAACCCTCGCCAACCCTACACATCCAAAGACAGAGAGAGAGAGGGAGAGAGACAGTAAAACAGCTGTCGAAGTCGATCGGGTCGACCTAGCCTCGGTCGTCAACTCGCTTTCTTTTTCTTCGCCTACAAGCGTTTGAATAGGGGCGCGGGAAAACTACTTGTGTGATGCGGCACGCGTAATACCGGAAAAGGCCTTCGGGTAGTTCTAGAGCGCCGCCAGAATTGGGTCGCTGGAGTCGCGTTTTAGTTGCCACTTTACTATTGAAGATTCTTAAGTGGCAAAAGAGTTTATGACGAAATATACCCCCACCGCAACAAACCTGCAGACTATTTAATTTCTATTTGCCTGATTGGATTTACACTAAAATGACTTTTTGAAAATATCATAGTTATTCCATATTTAAATAGAATAAGTTTAACAAGTACTTAGGTTTGCTGCAACAGGGAGGGTAAAAGTGTGTTTTTTTTGTAAAATAATAACATTTTATAAATAAATAAATGATTTTTTTCTAATTTAATGCAAATATTTTCATAAACAAGAAAACTACTACAGTTTACTTATTCCCTGGTGTGAGTGAGGGTATACATTCAACTCTAGAAAATACGCTGGTCAACGAACGACAAAGAGCCGCCGATGTCTAGAGTTTCCTTGGATGGGTGGCCGACCGACCGGTGGTCATAGGGTGACGACACAAAGGGGGTGGTAGGCGGGTATCCGTGTCGGCCAGTGAGTCAGTGTTACCGGTGTTACTTCAAAGATGAATTATTGCCGTCGGGGAATCCCGAGGTAGGCGCGGCGCCGCCAGCTCGACACTTGTTTCGGTCACTGGTCTTGGTTGATTGTTTCGTTTTCGTTTTACTATCTTTTGATACTTTTACATAAACGATATAGCCATGATATATTACTAATGAAAATTCAATAAGTACATTGCACACTATAAAAAAAAAACTTACATATAGGATAGTTCATGTAAACAGTTGTTGCTTAAATCGTTTAGAACTCTGGCCACGTCTATATTCTTCATTAGAGTGAACTTAACTGCAGGCTATTCAATAGACTGTGAAAAAAAAACTGTGAATGATTTTATGTACTTGGTTTTTTTTTATAATTATAGCAAAAGCTACCAATCTTTGTCATCCGCGTCATAATTCTTGAGCTAACTACTTCTGCAGTGATATACCTTACACGTCACAAAACTGTATTAACCCTAGATCCAGTACCTCTGCTCCAACTAGTATTATAACATTGCCGTCCAGGAATCTTTGAACATATAGTTTGACAATAATTGCATGGATAGTACAGCCGTTTCAAGAAGGATTTATTTACTATATGTTCTTAAAACTGAAATTAATTAGAAATACTATTAAAATAAATTAAATTAATTAATTTGATGTGAATTTAGCTTTAGTTAACAACACTCATACAAGATCATAAACATAAACCAAATACAATTTTTTTAATAGAAACGATTTGCAGGGTCGTCCAGATGAACTTGGAAATAGTACCATAGATAAAAGGAGTAGACATACTCTGTCATACATACATGTCTATACTCCTTTTATCTATGATAGTTCATTAGAAAATCTGAATATACAGTAGTGCCGTGCATTTGAAGTACTTACTCAGAACACAGACTTACTTGAGGACAGTTAAACAATAAAACGCAAAGATCCACGGAAGTAAAGACTAAATTATTTAGTAAAAAAAAAACAAGGATGCGTCAGTTAGGGCCAGTTAGACAATTGAAGTACACAGAATTGAATCACCATAGTATTGTCCACGCAACAACGTGAGAGGATAAAACATGTACTTCTTCAATTATAATTACATGTTTCTGTGTAAAACCGAAGACGTCTACAGACTTTACTAAGAAAAACTTCTCCCCGGTAACACAGGCAATGGGAATTCCTTCTAGACAAGGTTTTCAATAGGCCTACAACAAAATCATAAAACAAAAGATGTTTCTCAGGCTAAGTAGCACACTGTGCACTTCAGCAAATAAATAGTTTACCGAGATAACTATTGCTTACCAAGACAGCAGTGTCATTTAAGGAGAAATAGTACAAACTAATGTCACCAAAAGTCTAAATTCATTCTTTATTTTATTTTTTTAAGAGAGGGAAAAATAGACAACAAAGCTTTAAATAACCGGTATTATCAATTTGTATTTATCTCTCAATTGAATAAATGTAACGGTAGTTACCTCACCACTGTTAACAATATTTGACCCTCCTATTACATAAATATGTTAGTTAATTTAATATTCAAACTCGTGTACATGTTGCTCGAATTCGAGCAATTTCAAAGTAATACAGAATTTATTTCAAAACGAAAAAAAGTAATAATCAATGAGTTTAAAAGAGTCAACTCAAAGATCACCAGTGTGTAACTGCTGGAGATACTCACGATGTATATACAGTAATCAACATTTCCTGTAAATATTTTATCATATTTCATAAATTGGTATTGCTTTTTAATGTTTCTACAAATGTTTCCTGACTTATAGCTGCATAAGGTTGTCCATGTTTATCTTATTTATTGATAAACCTATGTATGGCACCACCCTTGTCGCCAGCAGTAAGTTTACAAATTTCAGTAATTTTTTAATAAAGATAAACACTTTTTTGATCATATTAAGGACTTCCTGTTGTCTGTAACAATTTTATTTGTTCAATCGGCGTATTTTTATTTATTTAGCTAAATAAAACATTTATTTCATTGAAGTAAACTAATATAGGCCTATTTATATTCACTGTACTGTGTATAACAAAATATCGATTGAGAAACAAACAATTACACGTAATAAGAACCTCGCTAGTCCGCTGCATTGTGATAGCTGAAAATCGTCGGAATGAAAACCGCCGCTACAAGATACAGAAGTTGGTACGCCTGCAGTGCCCTCCACAGCTGCGCGCGCCGCTGGCACTGCCGCTCAACACATCCCCACCTAAAAGACGAGCAAGTGGTAAGTCGGTCGGGAGGATTGACGACAAGTTGGTTTCTCGTATATAATAATTTAGATTTACAGGCCGGTCAACTGGACTGACGATGAAATAACTTGTCGACGTACTGGTTTTCAGTATTTATCTATTTAATTAAAAAAGACGGTCTAGTGGCAAGACGACCAAGTATCTTGTCGGTCAACTGGTGGCCCCCCATTTTTAAAACATTATTTCCAGCAAAACAAAATGCAAAAATATTGCACAATAGACAGTTCAATGCTAGACAGACACAAAATTATCGTACTGATTATTTGTATGAAGTAATGTTATTGCAATAGCTCATATGGAGTCTGGCAAAATGCTACTTTTATATATTATTTTAATATGTACAGAATTTTTTTAGTATTTTTTCCAACAATTTCTGACTAACACTTTATGCATGTTGCAGCGTATCCAGATGCTGTATCGGCCGGAGATGGGCAGTGTAGCCAGTGTGTTGGACTTCACCGCACAGACAGACGTAGAGAGCAGCAATGCAGCAGTTAGCAACGTCGCAGTCGAAGACCCTCCCCCCAAGTACACACCTCCCCCCTCCTACACCACCGCTACTGGCGCGAGGTACGTGTTGCATGTCCTGTCACGGCTCACTCCTCGTATCTTGCGGAGAACTAACCGTAGACCCATGCTGCACAACAGCTGATTGACCGTAGACGTGTGCTTCACTAACAGCTGATTAACCATTGTGATTCTCAACAAATGAATAACCATAGACTAAACTTCACATTACAGCTGATTTAACTATAGAACTGCACTTCTTACAACAGCTGATTAACTGTAGTGATTCTACAGAAGCTTGATTAGCTTCTAGACAAATAAACTGAATAACTGTTGACATCATTGCCATCCAATAACTGTAGATTGTACATCACTTAACAACTGACTGTGATTTACTAAGACATCTGACATAGGCCCAAGAAAAAGACAATGCAAGGCTTAGTATTACTGTAAGATTTCATAAAAAAACCACACGTTCCGAATAGGATTTATAGCTAAGAAAATGTTATGCATGGTCAATCTTTACTGACAGCTTTGTATATAAATAATGCATTGAAGAAGTGCATAGTTTTTATACTCTGTGAATACAAAATATGCCTGTTCGAGTAGTTAACAAGAGTAGTAAGACAAGAAAATATTTTGACGACAAAAAATCTATTAAGAATCCCTTAACCTGCAAAAATGTGCTGTAGACTTAAACCCGGACTTAAGCCTCCATAAGATATTTTAGACACAGAAAGACTTCAAAATTAATTGATTTTATTCCAAAAGTATACAAAACTCTTTCTGACCAAATTCGTCTCCAAATTAGTGAAGAATAATGAATGTACAAAATAAACATACAATTGGTAGCCTCTCCACTTTTTTGCTTGTAATTATTTCTTTAGTTTTATACTTAATTTAAAAAATATGTAGATCCACTTATATTTAAAATACAAATTATTCACAGTGTACTTTTAACTATGAAAGTTTTCTTTTTTTTTCTTTTAAATCAGTTATTTGCCTATGTGTTATGAGCTTAGCTTTAGATTATTTAGATATATGTACAAATGAAAATGACTTACTGTGATATGTATCAAATGACAATAAAATCTTGTATTAAAATTTCTTTCATTTGTGCTTCACTGACTAACCAACCATTTGAGTGTGCTTCACTTGAACTGCTTATTAACCTAGACCTTTTTATGAACATCTGAATAACTGTAGATAATGATTCAAAAACAGCTTATTAACTAACTGTAGACAATGATAACAATGTTAAAACAGCTGAATAACAGTAGAAAATTATTAAAAACATCTGTGATTCAGTAATAAAGCAAACACTAAACTGTGCTAAAGAAACAGCTGTTTAAGTGCAGACAATGCTACAATAACAACTGAATTAATCATGGACTGCACTAGACTTAAAAAAACACTTGTATTATTTACGGTTTTGGGAGTTTTATATTATGTAAATAGTGTTGGGTTTCTTTTGGTTTTTTGCATGTACACTATTTTAGTACACAATGTAATAAAGTAGAATGTAGGAGCATGATTGTGTATTGATTTTGATCCTGGTTTAACTCAATCCAACAGTAATGGCTGAACCTAATCAATATCTACCTGTTGGTTATAGATTTCAGATTTCAAATCGATAACTAAAAGTAGTTATCAACTTTCACTTGGCCAAGAAAAAGTTTGTAATAAATTAGTTGTTGCTTTAAATGTAAATGTCAAACACTTTTGTTATGTTTAAGTATTATCTCAGTGCCAAATATTCTTTGAAATTGGTCCGGAGGTTCACTTTCTCATATGAAAAACTGTAGAAAGTATTAATCACTATTAAAATCTAAATTTAATGTTATACACATAAAAATACTGAGTGTTTATGCTACCAACCGATCAAAATATCCAATAAAAGTGTTGCCAACCATTCTTATTAAAACTAATCATGCATGCCATTCAAAACTTTTCAAAAAAACTTATTCAACTACCAATGTTAAACCGAAGCTACCAGCTATCCGGGACTGTACCACAAACGTTGTTCCAGGATTGCCAAACTCTTACGGCAGAGTTTTAGACGAAGCATGCGGCGGATAACGACAGCGATCGGCGGAGAATCAAGCGTGCCGTCAGCCCGGCCTCGGCTGCCTCTCCCCCCACCACCAGACTATTCCACCGTGTTAGTGGAAATGCACCAGAACCAACACACGGACCATAGTGAAGTGATAGTGAATAGGACAGACCATTCAACTTTGACCGCGGATGACGTGGCCACAATATTACGCAGCAGTATACGCCGGCCGAGAGACAATGTGGTGGAAAGTTCGAGTTCGGAGAGGTTAGTGGATGCGGCCGCGCCCATCAACGAAGACTCGATCGTGTTAGAAACGGTTCACATAGATAAAAGCCTGGATCTCCACAGGCATTAGGCAGTGTGGAATATTTGATCTTGTAAATATAAGGTAAGCTTGGATGGTTCGACTGATATAGTTGATTGTTGATCAAATTGATACGGTCTTTGTTACTGAAGTGTTTCTCTGGTGGAATGCGCAACAAATTATTTGTACTTGACCAAATAAGAGAGACAGTGAAAAATACTTTCAAGCGTAAGATAAAAGTATAATCAATCTGGAAATTATAATGGAAGAAAACTGAACTAACCTTACGTGTATCTAGTCTTTCTTCTATTTTGTGATTTTAATACAAAAACAATAATAATCAATTTAGAAAATTAATTTTAGTCTCTAGACTCTATTCAGTGAATAAAATTTTACAACCTAAAATTTTATCTTGGTTAAAACAATTTAGATTTTTTACAGCTCAACCTAACATCAAAATCCAAACGCCTGTGTTTCTACCAAACAATTAAACTGTAACATATTCTCTTCTTCGTAGTTTGGTAACTGCAAAAACTTAAGACAATTCTATGTCTAAATATTGACTGCACACATAATTATTATTATTTAATATAACCTAACCTCAAACATCAAACCATTCCAGTATTTGCTGTAAACTGTGTTAATTGATAACTATAAAGGCATCTTTTCCTACGTTTTGTCTCTAGAAGTCTGTTTACAACAATCAACCGACATCAGTCGAGTCGTCCAAGCGATCAATGTCTCACCAGTGCCTAGTTTCAACTCATCTGTGATAACATACTGAAGTACTGAACATTTCCGTCCCATGCCTTTGTTAGCCAAAGCAATAGTTTTGTGTTCATAAGTGCGTTTTAGTTTACAGTGTGACTAGATAGACGTAGTGACATGTTTAGCACTCGTACAAAAAAGCTTGTGTCTGCTTTGTATTGTAATTTATTTCGTTTTAAAATACCGACCTTGCGTTTAGTGGATTGGATTGTAAAAGTAAAAAACATCACAATTGCAAATGTAGTTTAACTGTAAGACTCCCTTTTAATTGTCAATTATGGAAGTGTACTTGATCTTAAAATTTAGTGGTTTGGCAACTTTTATGGTCGACTAACTTGACGAGAGCTCAAAGGTTGCTAAGAAATTCGTTGATCAAGTTGGCAAACCAAAGTGTAAAATTGATTCATGTTTTCTCACTTTGTATTAAATGTAGCACAAGTTGCTCATGCCAATGTTAGATCTCAGCAAACAACGAGAACCTACTATCACTAACGAACAGACTTGTAAAACGTACTAACTTTACTGTTTGTACTGTTGCTTTTAGAGAAATCACTAAATGTATTCATGATTCCACCTATCGGTTAATTTGCTTGATGGTTCAAGTTTGGTTAGAATCACAAATGTTTTTACGAGTCAAATACAAGTAATGGTGTAAAAAAGATGTTTGTATGTTAAATTAGTTAAAATATATGAACAGTACCCCTCGGTTTCTCAAATTTGGATTGAGTTATGACATTATTTGTAGATTAATATATTTAGTAGAAACAATACTATAACTAAATTTTCAAGTGTCCCTAACAAAATGTTTTAAGTTTAAGGAAATTTATAGGTAATTATTCAAGACTAAGAAGTTAATTTAACAATGGACTTTTACTCTCGATAGATTGGCAACAAATAAAATTAAAAGTGTTACCCATCAATATTCTTTGTAGAAACGTATAAGTAAAAAAAAAACCCAAGAGATTTAAGTATTTTTTAAATTGTGTAATGTAAGTTAACTCTCTGAGGTTGAATTTTTTTTGTCGAGTATAGGTCACCATTTGAGCAGTCGAACTATTCTCGCCATTCAACCGCAAAGGGTTAATAAGGCCAAAACAGTTAAAAAAAATCCTACACAAGAATATTCCTAAACATTCTGAGGTTGATTGAAGCCAACCTTTTTGTATCAGGTTTGGAATTGAAAATGCATGTTATAAGTTCTAGATACAAATTATTCTAATTTAAAAAACTTAATTTCATAATTTCTAAATCTAGATTGGAGGAACCGAGGTGTATTAAAACACAAGCACAAATCAAGTCTTCACATTTACAGTCAAATCATCCAATCAAATCTAGACCTTGCTAGTCCAAGTTTAGTGTAAGTTATCTTCTGTACAGTTTAGGTTAATTTTTTTACTACTGTGTTATATTTATTGTTGTGTCATTTGGTTTGCAATCGAGACGTCGCGACTGATTCTCATTTTAAGATTTTGTTTTATTTTACTTCTGCTAGTAGAGTCAAGCCTAACCAAAATATTTTGTAATACTAAATCGTATGCTGATTATTTTATTTAAAAACAAATAAAAAGAAAATATTTATTGTACATTTTTATTTTTTACCTCTTATGAATAGTGTAAGTTAATGTTAAGTAATTTGGTACTCTTTGATCCAGCATGTTCAAGTCTTCGGCAGTTCTGCATTATAAAAGATACCGCATTACATAGCCAAAAAAGCCGCTATTGCTGTAATAGCGGAACTCTGTTAACACGTTCGCTGTGGTCCATCAATGGCAGGCGTAGCACCAGTGTGACCCAGCGCTAAACAAACCCAATCGCCAGGAGATTGGATTTCAAATTTTGGTCTGGCAAAAAGCAAATAACATGCGGTGATGTACTGCGTTACGACGAGAGTTGACGTAGTTTGCTAAAACACCCAAAGATAGTTGCACTGCTTGGAACCTAGCCGATCCCATTACATTACCAACTTGAGTGAGAAAGACGGGACAAAAAATTGATTTCTAAGCTTGCCAGACGGGGATTCTACGGGGAACTTTACTACCAATCTACACCACAACAAAAAGCAAGTCACACACTACACGCTAATAGGTCCGACGCTAGGCTCGCACTGAGCAACAGAATGACAGATTGATGCACTGCAGTGTGGGTCAGTGCTGTCCCAGCCGCGTGACGGCTGCAATCGCCTTGGGTCGGTACTGACCCACTCGCAGCGAACGTGTTAAAATAGAGTGTCATTATCAACAGGTATCAGAACTTTTTTGGAGTCAGTGTAGGAGCCTTATCTCCAAACACACCTGTTGTAATAGAAACATCGACCAATGCAAGATTATTGAATGTTTCACAGTACTATGGATTGATTTTCTATTTTTAATCAACACTGACATTTAATTGCTCTGAATAATTAACAAGTTTTTGATTGTCAAAAATTAGTGAATGATCAGAAACCTTCTGGAGATAAATTTAGAATCAATGAAATAAACTAAAGTCTGAACTACTTAAGTTGTCTCTTTTCTTTTTTACTTTCTCTCCAAATAAAGAGTATATGGAGAAGGTATTGTTTCTGTAAAGATTTTTTTGTTTGAGTTTTGGGAGGAAATATCTATTTTGGGACCAAAATCAGTTGTTGTCAGTGATGTATATGAGCGTTGAGTATGTGAGGATGTGTACAGAGTTAGATTCTGATGAAACTTGGTATGTGGATAATCCATAACATATCTAGGAGTTTTTAAATTTACATTTTATTTTGGTAGCCTATGGTGATTTTATTTTAACAGAAAAGTCGGATTTTCACAAGAAAAGAGCTCAGACGATTTTGATTGGCATTTTATTTAGTAAGTTGTGTTCCTTGTAATCATAATCAAAATAAGTTAAGTAGTACAACCCCAATGCTGTAAAAATTATTGTTTAAAATTACTGCAACTTTTTTTATTTTACCCATAAAATATCAGTAACTCCGATCCCTTACCCATTACAAAGATTGTTGACAAGCTTATGGGAGAAAGTACGTGTCAGTTTGCTGAGACTGTTTATCAAACATTTTAGGCTTTTTTTATAGGAGTCTAAATAAATAATAAAAACATATACTGAAAAAACAAGTTTTAATAAACAGAAACAACTACAAAATGCAAGTGAAAAGTTAGTTCTCCTAACCTTTTTTGGTTTAATCACATTCATACACAGAAAATCCACATTTTCCTCTTACAAACTAAATTATAAATCAAACAACTCAGATCAACAAACATCAATACAAAATTCAATAAAGAAAAGTTCATTACTGTTAGGAATAGAAGATAGCCACATCCGAATCTTTCACATCGTAACCCTACAAAAATAATGCTTTTAGTCAAATTTTAAAATTTAACTTTACATTCAGAATAATTTCCAGACACAAGTGACATTTAGATAACTAAGTTTTACATAAATATTTTACTTGACAAATTTTCTTACTTCTAACCGTAGTCTTGCTGTTAGTCCCTGAGATTCTTGTCTTGAAGAAGGATTTTTGAATTTTAATCTGAAATAAAATTATATCTCTATTAAACAATCCATTTCCACATGATAAAAATTTCACACAATAAACCTTGTCCAAATTGATTTTGAAACTCCGTCAGATGCATAGGGATGTTGCCCTAGTGTTTGGAAGGGTAAAGCAAACAATTGATTTAATATTATTTATATAACAAAGAAGTGTATATTTAATTCCTGAAAGAGGCGCATGAGATACAATCAACGCCAGACAGCAGTTTTTAAAAAAATGTCCTGCACAATCTTGCACTCTCTGAAATAAGCCTGATGGAAGTGGAAGTGGAAGATGAAAGTAAACAGTTCCGTGTTTAATGATCGCTAAACTAAACTAATTCAAGGAACTTTGAATAAACTTCAACAGTAGACCTACATTAAGTAAGTTACATCATAATTAGTTTAGATACCTGGTGATGTCTAAATGTACAAGAAGAGTGTGACCGGGCAGTGATCGCTACCGAGAACCTTCTCTCTGATCACGCTGTCACAAACGTTGGGCAGCAAACGCTCCGACACAATGAAGTAGTCAAGTCTCCTGTAAAAAAAGGTAATCTTTCAAGCCTTAAAAAACAATAACTTTAGGTAGGGACACAACACAGGTAAAGTGTACTTTAATCTAGATATGAATAGAAAATAAGGGTAGGGGATGCTTTAATTTGTATATTTTTAGTGGTAAGATCAGTTTTTAACATAACTGTGCAATAGGATAAAAACCAATATGAAGATTTTTATAGTAAACAACCAAACTGAAGAATAGATGGAAAACTAAATGGAAAACATTAACATAAAAACAAAAATATTACACCACACACAAACAGTTCCAAAGGGTCAGAACAAAATAATAAGGAAATTAGCATTCTATAGTAAGTGATAAAAATTGGGCCGAAATTTTTTTTACGGCAATCAACCATTTTTACCCATTGTGTCTCTTCTTTCCCCAAGAATCACATCTAATAATAATCAAAAGTAAACATACCATCCGGTATTTTTGGACCTTGCGTTTCCCATGAACGACCAGAAAGTGTAAGCGCCTTCTTTCTCCGGGTAAAGATGGCGGAAAGTATCGACAAACCCTTGTTCCAAAAGCTTCGTCATGTCTTCCCTCTCTTGGGGCGTAAACCCAGCTGACTTCTGGTTGGTCTTAGGGTTCTTCAGGTCTGGAAAAAGCGGGTAAAAATTGTAAAAAAATTATAGAAAACTCACCATCCCGTATTCCTCGCTCTACAGTTTCCGACATAGTTCCACCACGTGTAAGCGCCTTCTTCATCCGGATAGAAATGTCGGAAAGAGTCAACGAACCCTGCACTGAGCAATTTGGTCATGTCTTCCCGTTCTTCTGGGGTAAACCCTGGCGATTTTTGGTTTGTTTTCGGATTCTTCATGTCTGAAAAGTTTTTAGTTCTTACACACTGGGTGGATGAATAATAGTATATTTTAGAAATTTATTACTAGCAGAGTACACGTCCTTTGTACGGTGTTGGCGTATAAGTATAAAATGCTTATTGCAGTTATACTCGTGCTTTGCGTTTGCAATAGGACACGGTTTAAGAATTGGTTCTTTTAATTCACGGTAGGCTATGCTATAGCACATCTACCATAGCCATAATGTTCTACCACTGCCCCTAAACAATAAAAAAAGTTAAATTCAAATTTTTTACAGCTTTATGTTGCTAGTTGGATCAAATTAGATGTTTTCATAAATGAAAAAATAATAATAGTGCTGTACCCTGTTGGTAAACCTTATAACTTTTTAATGCTACTTAATATCATAGAACCAACTTGTGTAGTTGACAAAATTCTTTAATTCCTTTTAAGTATGAATACTCATAAGGTTAACATGGAAAACTCCAGAGCAACTGGGGCATCGCCTGAAAGGATTTTTGAGATATGAATGCGTCTATATGTTAATCGGGAATGTGAGCTTTCATCACACAAAGTTTCAGCCCGATTCGACAAGTATTTTTCGCTTTTACTTGTCACAAACATCCATCCAATCTTTCTCACTTATAATATTAGTAGGATTATTATTGTTACATGACATTCGATTTTTTCTTATTTGTTAAGAGGTTACAGCCTTTTATAACTTAACTATGAATTTTTCTGTCCACCCGGGTCCTAAAAGCCCTGTTTCCTACAGTAGTCCTATATTTTGTAAGCACATTTAGTTCAAAGTAGATGCTTATTCTGCTGATAAAACCTTCCTATGTTCTGATTAAAAAAAGATTTTTTTTTAAACCACGGGAGGGCTTCCAAGCCAACTGTTAATCAACACATTCTGTATGAAAATAGAATAAATATCGAGTCACATTATCTTTCCGATCAATTCCTGCTAATGTTAAGTCCACAGATAAACAATTTGAATTTTTTGAGTGTATTTCCACTCATCTAAACTTAACTTACCGATTTCTTTGTGTGCCACATTCAAGTCTCCTGTTAGAATAACGGGCTTTTTGGCATCCAGCTCTTTCAAATATTTTTCAAACTGTTTGTTCCATTCCAGTTTTCTATCTAGAGTTTTCAGCCCTTGCCCAGCATTGACAACATCTGAAAAAAATAGCACATAATACCACACATCACATGATACCAGGCAATAACATCTTTCTCATTTTTCGTGATAAAAAAATCAATATCTCTAAGATTTACTCTAGGTAGATAAATTACTCTCTTTCTACCTATGAAAAAGATTAGGCCTAGCTAATAAAAATTAAAAAGTATACATCAAAGAATCAAAGACCACTTATTAGTCTGGAGAAAACTTTCTGGACTGCAAGAACAACGACAAAAATACAGTATGCTATAGCTGGTTCATCTTGGGGAAACGTACAAATTCTGTCATCAGTGATTTTAGAGGTTAAAAGTAGTGTAGGCCTAAATAAAAACAAAAAGACTTAATCAAGTATTGGGGAAGTGAAAGAGAGTATACCTCTTTTTGGTTACAAAATGTTGCGAGTTCTAAAATATGTATGTTCTATGGTCTAACTGTACTTCTTCAAGGTAAGCTATCTGCTATTCTCTTAATTCTACAATTCTACATCCTGACCTAGAGCCCTTCCTTGAACAAAACTCAGTCACCATTGAGCTATTTTAATTATGCTTCCTAAAATCAACAGAGCCTTAAAAAACCTAAAAATGCCAATGGCATTGAAATAGACAAAAACGTAAACAATATTCATCAAACTTAAGTTGGCAGTTTGAAGATTTCCATAATTTGAATGTCAACAGGAAACTTGGCAAACACAGTAAAGCTAGTAACATAAATTTGAACAACTAGAAAATTGTATAAACGTTTCACTGCGGTATAGCCTCTAGATCACAATGATTATTACGATAGTAGGTTATATTACCTTGTATCGCAAATTAAACCTGTTCCCATGATTTCGAAGGCCTTGATGCTTTATTTTCAAGTTTACGTAGAGATTAACCAACATTAATCCTCTTCTATCTTATAAGTTAACAGGTAAGAGTGAATTAGCTAGCTCTTAATCTTCATCACACCATTAACATTCAAACAGTCATTAACATTCAACAAGCGATAACACCTTGTACATGAGGGTTTTAGATGCTTGTTTGCCAAACGCTCTTTAGTCAAGTACAAGGAGATCGTTTACATGCAAAAGCGCTCTTGGAACCAACGTTGCAAAAACGCGACGCTTGTAGTTTTCACATCAACAAACGCTACGACAGGGCGCTTCTAGCTCCATAGTCACACTGGAGTAGTGACTGATTCAACTAATGCCGCGTCTACCACTGTCATGCATGTAGTTTCACATTTTGCTAACGTGCGCTCAACGCAGCGTCTAATGTCCTCATGTGAACAAGCTATCAGGTTGATGAGGAATAATGCTGCTTAACGTCCACGTAAACTTGAAAATGAAGCCATCAAAGCCTTCAAAACCATGGTTGTGTAACTGAAACGACAGGACCATTTGGCGATAGAGTAATATAACCTATTGTAATGTATTAACATGGACGTTGTTTCCAAGGCTTTTAAATCTGGATACAGTAATTGATAGGCAGGCAACTGTATTTACTTACATGTAGCTACGAGGTAGAATTTTTCATACTCAGCGGTGATCAATCTTCCTTCTTTGTCAAAAGTTTTGTCACCGATTCCGTACTTGATGTCCAATGGTTTCTGTTTGGTATAAAGTGATACTCCTGCATACCCATCTTTTTCACCTACACAAACATTTTAGGTCTGATATAATATAAACCCTTTGAACACATCTGTGACACTTTTAAAAATCATTCTAAACTGGAATAAATTCATCCGTTCTTTATATGGCTTTATATGCTTTTACCACAGATCATATATATGTAAATTGATAAAACAGGATGGCCGAAAAGTCCCTTTGCACAATATTGCAGTATAGGCCCCTTCCTACAGTCTGACATTGAAATAAGACTATGTTTATTTGGCGAGTTGGTTTAGTTCAGTTGTAGTGCAACGGCCTACGAGTCCAAGCAGCGATCATAGGTTCAGATCACAATGACTTTATATCACCAGCTGTTCCTTGCTAGATACATTCGAATCGGAAGCATGTATGGACAGGTAAATCATTATTTCTATTCAACCTAGAAATAATCCCCCCTTAACGCATCAGTATTAAACACTGGTCGATACTAAACATTAAACCATAGTTCCATCTTGGCCCCCAACTTCTAAAAAAGTTTAACACATAAAAAATAGCCTACAATACTTACTTCCCAACCAATATGCGTGGTACCCATCAATCTTCACTTCTGGTGGAAGTTTTGATTCTGGACATTTAGTTTCTTGCAGTGTTAAGATGTCTGGCTGCTCCCTGGATATGTAGTGATGACCACCTTTCTATATTGAAAAATAACTCATTAAAATTCTTAGAAACCTAAATCAAACCAAAATTCCATCAAACCAATGGGGGAAAGTATCAAAAATATCACTCAAACACATAGAAATCTTAGAGTTTATTAATTTAAATCATCTTGTATGGAATGAGACTAAAAAATAAGATTGTTTCCAAATATATTTAAGGTTAGGCTAAATTGGTTAGGTTAGGTTTGGCCAAATTTGTTGTAAGCATCAGGTTAGGCCTATAGATACGGCCCATAACAAAAATATTAACCTGAAACAATCATGTTAGAAGGCCTACAGTATTAAGGATGGATATCAGTATTGATTCTTTTACAACTGGCTAGGCTTACCATATTTCAAATTAAACGTGTCATTCAATTTACCTTGACCCAAGCTCTCAGACCAGCAACATTCCAGGAGGATATTTTGAAGTTCCATTCTTTTCCATCTGGAGTGGTTTTTTCACAAGCATTGAAGTCAAATCCTTCAACACTTTCTTCCACTGGAGTCAAAGCCTTGGTCTTCTTAGAAGCAGATTCCTTGTCTCCAGAATCATCTTCTTTCCTTGAGCGTTTGCCCCTGGATTTTGGTTCCTTTTCTGATTTCTTAACCCATGAATCCAAAGTTGATTTCTTCTTGTCGCTTTTTTCAGCTTGGTCTTTAACGTCCGCCTCACCCTCACCTTCACTCAGCTCATGTTCATTGCTCTTGACAGCAGTTTCTGTGTCTTTAGACTCCTAAAAAAGAATAGACTATTAGATAATTTTTCAATGAAAGCCAAATAATATTCTTCAAAAACTTATACAGTTCGGCCAAAGTTTCTGTGCGCGTGGACGAGTCGCTACTAACCGAACTACAAAAAGACATAGGTTACGAGTGCTGGTTATTGGCCGTACTGGGGGTAGGGGTGACCGAGTCACGCTGAGTAGCAAAACACAAATGTTTTCACAAAGTAACCCCGCCAACCCCCTCACCAAGACCCGACCAGTTCTGGCTGCGTTCACAGAAACTTTGGCCAAACTGTATCTGATAAGGCTGATAAACACACCTATTTTAACTAACAAATAAATACCTACAACAATTATTAAATACAATAATTTGAGCTTCCACTTCTTTAGGGTAAACTTAAATAGTCCTAGGTATCTATTTGAAAACTACGCCACCTTCAGTTAAAAAACTGTATCTCCCTCAATCCTTAGAAAACTTACGCCCCAGAAATTCCTAGATCATCTAGCTTCTATCTGTGTATTACGCCCTATTTCACAGTCATGTTTCTTATAGACTGGTAATGTGGGGGCACTCCTCAGCAGCTGAGGATATACTACTTTTACAAAAAATGGCCATGAGGATTGTCACATCTGCTGGGTTATTTGGACCATTGCCGGCCAATCTTCAAGGAACTAGGGGTGCTCACAGTATATACGGTAGTCAATATGTTCTAGATATATCCTGATCCTACTGAAGAATAACTTGAGAGTTTACAGTAAGAGAGAGGAGGTGCACGATTAGGCTACTATACTAGGAAGGCCCAAAATATCGACGTTCCCCGCTGCCGTCTCAGTTGTACCTTGAGTTGCTATCCCCGTTCAGCGATTAAAATATATACCTACCGGTACTCTGCCTACCCAGATGTGGGAGATGGATGTGCCCTCCTTCAAGAGGGCACTAAAAGGGATAGGCTACTTGTAAATAGACCGCTCTACTCCCTTAAAGAACTTGAGGATGAGCCCCTCGCAAGATAGTGTATGTCCACCTTGCCATCCAATAGACGGCCAAGTTTTTTTATAAGCCCCGTCCACACGGGGCGAGTTTACAAGCTACACGCCGGCTTTTTTACACGCAGCTAGTAAAATAGCTCAGTGTGAACGAAGTACTCACTCAAAAGCTGCTTGTAAAAAAGCTCTGGAAAAAGTTGACGCTGCCGCTACTTTACATGCCAACTCGCCAGCTTTTGAGCGATTAGGCGTGTAAAGTAGCCCAGTGTGAACACAGTTGCTTGTGCTTGTGCGCATGTTATTCAAAGATGTCGGAGGATTTGGTTCAAGCTAGCTACTGAGCGAGTGGAAAAAGCATCGTGTGAACGACTACAAGCACACTCACCAACTTGCCGGCTTCTTGCTCGCTGGCGAGTAGCTTGCAAACTCGCACCGTGTGAACGAGGCTATAGTAGCCTAATTTATGGTTTTGTAAATATTGTAGGTCTAGGCCTATATAGTTTTATTATATTATAAATTATGAATCAATCTATCAGACTAGATCTGTCAAAGATGCAGGATTCAAGTATCAAGATCTACAATCAGAAGCTAACCTAGGCCTATGAGTAAGTTATTGGTTCTCTTAGAACCAATGGGTAGGCCTACTAGTTTCTTATCTAGGCTACCTAAGTTACCCTTAACTTAAGTTACCAGTAAGTTTGCGGTACTCTAGCATGAAAATATAAATAAGGCTAACTTAACTTTAACCAAACTTGCTGTAGACCTAGTCAATTACATTAAGTAGGTAAATCAGTATAATCGATAGGCCTAATCAATGTTGTGGTAGCTTAAACTTATCCCAGTTAAGAACCTGCACCCGAACCAATACTAAATAAAGTCATAACTAAGTTTTGAATTACCGGTATTGATTTTGTTAATTGTGTTTTATACGTTCCACTCACAGATCTGTAGTCTATGTGGACGGGCAAATGCAAGGTAAAAAGAGGCTGCCAACCTCTTAAAAAAAATATTAAATAAGCTAATAGGCCTAGGCTAACTTAAGTTAGTAAGATTGGTGCCCCTACCTTATCAAAAACTATTTTCAAACAGTCAATCCTTTGGCTGCTTAAGTGGGATACATTTGTTGAATTATAACAAGAAATAGAATTGTATTCATAGCGGTTAACAGAACTAACTTTAGTTAAACCTAGAGAAAACACTGACAACCTACAGACGACTGACAATGCTGGAGGGATGAGAAAATGTTTCCCCATAGCAATGTTATGAACAATGTGGTAAAAAAGTGAATGCCTTAATCTCCCAAACATATTTAATTGTAAACACTTAACACTAGGCTGTAAAGGAGGCCTACTTGGTTGAAAAATGTGAATAACTAACCGGCTTAATCATATAAACATAAACATAACCCAACTTTGGTGCCACTTTTAACCATTCTAACGTCAATAACTTACTTACCTTAGCATCTCCAGGAAGCATGGTAGATCGGAAATAAAGTTATCTTTTTACGTAATTTGAAATATTCAGGAGACAATTCTTGTAAAATTTAGAGATTTTTAATGAGGCGCGATTAATGATCTGGCTCAATGCACAACACACACATCGTTGAGTTTGAGTCTGAGCCCCGGTCCGTCTCCGCCGTGGTCGTAACGTGAAGTTAGCGCCTTTTTTCATCGGTGAATTGATTTGGTTTTCAAATAGGCGTTTTGGAAAAAAATGCTAATCAGAACTTTACACGCTGTATTAAATATACAATTATTATTCTAACGCGTACTTTGTTTTGAAAATTAACAAATTTGATGAACACAGGGCGGGCTAACTAATTTCCCGAAGCTAGGCGTATGCTGAGACAGTGAGACGCATGTGACCGTGACACAACGACACAATGCACGCAACGCAAGTTTTGAGGCGCAAGCCGCAAGCCAAGCCACGCAACACGCAGCTAGCACACGATTTTTTTTACTAACAACGCATGTTGAGATGCAGCACACGCCTACGCAGACGCCAAGATCGACGATAGTAAAAACTCCGATGAGCAAATTGATTTTTTGCCCTTTTCAATCTGTTTAGTTTATTTTAGCTGAACTAACGAATCAATCCTTTTATTAATACTTATGAAGTCAAACGGGGTGAAGCCCGTGGGTAACAGCTAGTACTATCATACGTGGGGTGTCATAGCTTATAATGTCATAGCTTATAATCGTGAATTTGTTCCATAGCTTATAATGTTGAAAATGTGGCATAGCTTATAATCAGTTATAAGCTATGCCACACTTTCACGAAAAATTATAAGCTATGCCACAATTTCTCTAAAACGTTATAAGGTATGACACATTTTCAGTTTCACAACTTATAATGGTCAAATAGTGGCGCAGCTTATAATTCCGATTCTGTTCTATAGCTTATAATCCTGATTTTGAGTCATACCTTATAATCCTGATTTTGGGGCATAGCTTATAATTGAAGAGAATGTTGCATTGTGGGAATGGCATCAGCTGCTCGCTTCAGTCAGGTCTACCATATATACGATATTTTATGGTAGGATACGATAATTATTGTAATTGGACCGTACTGACAACTGCCCAACTGCGATATCGTAATTTATAACCTAAACATTTATTTATTTAAATGTTTTTAAACGATTTTTATACGAGAAATGGCAACAATTACATGCTATATGACAATGAAAATGCAAGAAATATTTATAGAGAGAAGTTAAAAGATATGAAAATGAAGTGAAGGATAACGGCATTGAAAATTAATGAATCTTGTCAATAGTCCGGCTGGTGTTGACAGAAGATAAAGAAGAGGAACAATAATTATTAATAAATTGTAAGCATCAAAAAATTCCAAAACTATTGAGGTGTTGAAATCCAGTAAGTTGTGTTTTAATCCAATCCTGTTCCTAGGCCTTGTTATTCAAAGTAACAAAAACGCAGTAGGCTTTAGGCTATTATTTGCTTGAGTGTTATTAGGTTAAGTTAGTAGGTACAGTTGCCTAGCCTCTACTTAAGCTTAAGGTAGCTGTGACTCAAGTTACAGATTTCCTGTGACAGGCCTAAACAATTAACTTAATAAAAATATCAGTGAATGTATTCAACGGCTGCACTTTATTTTACGTCCTACACTCATTCGAATGAAAATATTGATTATTAGATTGTTTCATTCGATATATCGTTTGGTTAGTTAGGTTAGGTTAACCTTACCTAACTAACCAAATGATATAACTTATCTAATAATCGACATATCGATCGATATTTTCATTCGAATGAGTGTAGGACATAAAGTAAAGTGCAGCCCTTAGGTTTACGTCCTACACTCATTTGAATGAGTATTAAGTATTCGAGTAGGCCTATATTCGATATAAGTAGGCTATCAAGTTTGTATCATTTGTGTAACCTTAGAAATGGTAAGCGTGATAATACTGAGCCAAGAGATTTAACTTGGGTATTCCTACAGTTTCTTAACTGGGCTACGCTAACTTAAGTTAATATATTTTATTAAACTACAGTATTGAATTAAAAATATTGATTAATAATAGATATTTTAAAATATACCTATCTAAGTTTATTATAAAATTAAATTATCATAACCTAACTTAACCAACCAAACTTGCTGATGGTGAAAAAATCGCATGTAGGTTTACTAATCGAATCGATAGTTTCAATAAAATTAGCGTAGCCCAGTTAAGAAACTGTACCCTTTAACTTATTCTACCATCAATACTGTTAATACTATTCAATGAAATGGCGACGATACATATTAGGTATTTTAAGCCAAGTATGAATGGAAATTTAGTAGTCTATAAAATAACTTACAATAGGCAACGTCACAAAACTTAAGTTAGGTTAATTTCACACAGTAGGCCTAAACAAGGCAGCAAACCATGCAGTTAACTTATGGCAAAAAAACATGTAGGCTACCTAAGAAAATGAAATTGTGACACATACCTGAGTACATGAATAAAATTACAAATTAGGCAAGTAGGCCTATGGGTCAACTTTTTTCATATTAGCCCACCATACTTACAATTGATTGTAATTGGCAAAGGCAAATATCCTTGTATTATGTTTCTTTCATAACCTAAAATCAAATGAAAATTCGGTTTGAAGGTGTAAGGCGGGATAAATCTGAATGAGTTCGCGAACTAGCATGATCGGGCCATGGGACCGGGTTTTAATGAGTTCTATGCAGAGAAGGGGCCTAGGCCAAAAAATGGGGTTTTCTCATTTTTTACCCTTAAAACACAAAATTTATCAATTATTCTCTAGACCTTTCTAAAGAAATTAAAAAAAAAATAATATGTTATCTATGTATCGTGTTGTGTATAGTGGAGTCGTGGATTAGTTGTCCGCTTAACTGTGTGTGTGTGTAAGTGTTCGCATAAAAAACTCAAGCTAACCGTTGCACCTATAGTGTTAAAAAATTGCACGAATCTTAATTATGACAACAATGGAAAGACACCATAAAATTTAGACAATTCCGTTCAGTAGTAATTATAAAACCCTCAAAATACATTTTTAAATTTGTCCCATAAGAATAACATTAGAAGCTACCTTCTTCTACTTTTTATTTGTTTATGTTTTGCGACCAACAAAAAGCTTGATTTATATTTTAAAGTATATATATATATATATATAGGCTATATTTATTTTTATAAATCAAACTTGAAAGCTTTATTTTATACTAAGCTATTAATGTTTTAATAAAAAACACACTTTATTAGTTCCACCTGGGTAATGACACTTGGGTCCGAGAGAACCAGTGGCCTTCGAGTTTTTAAGTTTTTATCTACCAATCCAAATATTTGTACAAAGAAAATATGCCCTACCTTGAGCTATAGTTCTATATTCTGTTTTTACTTTTAACAAGAAGTAGGCCTGAATGATGTACACTGCCTATTTTTGTTCCAGGTAAATTTCCTTGTAAAGCTTGGAGAATTGCAAATGTTTGGTGTTAATGTATGAGAGTACTTCATATGTAAACAATATTGATGAAGTTGTCTGCTTATTTGGGGCCAAATAAGAAGGAGAGAAATTTTCTTGGAAAAGAATCGAAAGCAATAAAGATAAGTAAGTTTGGCTAAGTTATCAATATGATTAAAAAGCATTTTCAGTCCTTGTTTAACATTAACACGTTGACTGCTAACGCCGACTCTAGTCGGCGTCGCTAGCACTTCAATGTGGCGCGCGCCGACGAAGGTCGGCACCAGACCAACAGAAATATATTGAGTCAGTGTGAGCTTAGCCTCAGACGGAGACGTTATAATCGTTGCCAGCCTGCCAGCTTAGAATGCGAGCTTTACTTTGGTGTAGGTTGGTACTAAAATTTCCCGTAAAATCCTGTCTGGCAATGCTTTTGTCCCGGTTTCGGGGATTTTTTCTCTTCAACCCACATTACAAAGACACTGGATACGGATCCGTGCAGTGCTGCTACCTTTGGGTGTTTCAGTGAACTACATCCACTCTCGGGGTAACGCAGCACAGTCACCACTGCTCTTTTGTGATTCGTCAGACTGAAATATTTGAATGCCAATTGCGTTCGCTGATTCGGTTGCGTGCCGGGGCTTCGCCCGCCACTGGGAGCGCCTGTACGTTGTTTTCAGCAGTCATCGTGTTAACTTATGATGTGCTGTGGCGGTTAAGTTTTTATATTTGGAAAAAAATACACTTTAATCAACTTACAGCACTGTTCAAGTTTCAGAGTTACCTATGGTGACAGAATAATACAAGGCATGTTATTTAAGTAAGTACTGTTTTTAAATTTCTCCGTTTCAGTGCTGCGATTGGCATTTTGGACATTTGTGCTGTGTATGTGGATGTATTGGCAAGCCTGCGCTGGAAATTCGGCACAAATCGGCTGTGTTTACATCCGGTTTAGAGCATTCAAAACGGTGCCGCCAATTGAGACTGCCGTCGCCTGTGAAGTTTGCGCTGTACCGGTACCTAATTAGATTTTTAAGTGCTAAAGGTGTGAAAGCCATTTAAATTCATTGACAGATTAGTGAAGTGTATGGGGAGAAAATTATGAGTGGCGGAATTGTACCTACGTAGGTGGGTAAGGGCATTTAAAGATGGCCGCACCAACGTTCATGAGAAGCAACGCACAGGGTGGCCATCTATCAAATTGTCATGGTGATTTCCAGGATGTGAATCCGTTATCTTCGGAACCGGAGACTTACGCTGTACAACTACACCAGTCTAAATATGTGGAAAGATCAAGTTATTTGTTTATAGTTTATTGCCCCCACACAACTGGTAACAATAAAGTAGTTTCACATCTTTTTGTGGTAAAAAAATGTTAATACCAGCACAGAATTAAATTAGTTATTTTTCCCCAACACCCATTAAACCTTAGATACATCGATTGCTCATATGTAGGAGCTTGAACAAAAACGATCATACTAGTTTGATGAGACACCGTGCTTGTCAGATCATGTGAAATGAGAAAGGCTACTATCTTACTAATGTTATAAATGTGAAAGTTTGTGTGTTTGTTTGTTCGTTTGTGTGTTTGAAGTTCAATCACGTGTTAATTACTGGATGGATTGGGCTCAAATTTGGCATGATGATAGCTCACATTCACGATTAACATAGGTATAGGCATATTTTTATCTAAAAAATCCTTTTGGGCTCCGCCTTAGTGGCTCTAGAGT